AGGGTTAATTCAGTGAAAAGAAGTAACAAACCAGACTGAAAAATTCCTTGAACTGTTTAGCCAGACTTTAAACTTTTATGTGCCTTAAAGATGTAAAAATATCCTTGCATATTATTGTTTTGATCATACGCTGTTGTTTTGACCAAATGCACAATGTCACAATGAAGGGTTTGAATAAATTATTTTAGCACTTGATGTGCATGCTTTGCTTCTGCATAATTATGATAAGCTATCTCATTATAGCACTGTAAATTTTCTCAAAGACCACAAATTGCAATTTTGTTAGTCTTGGAAAAATTTATTTGTGCTTATTTATTCCAAATTACACTCAAAATCATACCATGACCTATAAAAATTTCAAATTTATTACAAAAGTGCACTGGACAATGAAAAAAATTACCATCACTGACCTGATTTTCTTCTGGAGAACACTTGTTGATAATGGATGACTCGCAGAATGTGTTAATAAACCACTCAAAGGCCTGTTCATTGCGAAGATTAGAATTCACTTGTGTTGCTGTCATTATAAATGCTAACACCTTTTTCAGTTTCTCTTCTGGAATGCTGGATGGTGAAGGAATCTTCCCTGCCTCCACAGAACTGTTTTCATTTACCATGGCAATTAAGAGCTTTTTAGTTGTTGCAAAATCAATTATTGCAAGGGTACATTGTGTTAAAGGTGTTGTGCCTCTTGTATCTAAAAGTAAGAGAGAGTACTGACCTTCTATGTGTAAAAGTGCCTACCCACAGAAAATAATTATATAGTTTACTAACTACTCTGTGTAGTTACTGTAAAAAGAAGTCTAAGATCAGTTTCCTCTAACTTGAGATAATTCTTGAAGTAGCAAGAACCAGTACTCAGAATTCTAGGAATATGAAGAGTTTTTTTAACTCACAATAATTTCCCTTCTGCTTTTAGTGGCAGATCACTAGCCACATCTACATCCAGTGACCATCTCTGATGGTGACCCATTGTCAAATTGTTTTGTAGCCTATTTGCTAAAATATTATAATAATACTAGTACATTATCTAGTAGATTATTACAATGAAGATATGCACTCTCACAATACAACTGACCTTTAAAACCTGTGTTGGTCAAAACGCTGGCAGGAATGTCCTCTGAGACTGGAAAATTCAGCACATTAAGAGCTTGTTCCACTTTCCCTGCCTGTGCTAGTAAAAGCACAAATTTCTTTTTGTAGTGGGTAATGTTTGCCAGGCACTTTTCAGTAGTGGAGGGTACAGCACCTCCAAAGCCATAATAAGAAGCACTGTGGTTCTTTTCCAAAGTCTTACAACTCAACATGTAAGATAATGCATCAGAAAACCTGGTATTTGAGAGAACGCGCACCACTCTTAGAATTACAATGTAGCTACTGTATTCTCAGAATTAAATATTTTCATTTCATGTCTGACAACTCAACACATAAGATAGCGCATCAGAAAACCAGGTATTTGAGAGAACAAGCACCACTCTTATATTTATAATGTAGCTATTCTCAGAATTGATTATTTTCAGTTCATGTCTTACAACTCAACATGTATGATAACGCATCAGGAAACCCAGTATTTGAGAGGATAAGTACATACCACTCTTACAATTACAATGTAGCTATTCTCAGAATAAATTATTTTTAGTTCTACATGGTTTATCCTCCTCCTCCAAGAAGACTAGAATGTCTAACCATTTGGGGATGCCGTAGCAAAAGCAGCACATTTTTCTTAGTTATTTTAGGACCTTGGCTATTGGTCCAGTCAAGGACTTCACCCTTTCACTCCCAAGATCACATGAGTAATTCTCCTTACTGTCTGCTATACAATTGTTATGATATTAGTTTGGAGAATTTGATATTGGATCAGCTAATAACCCATAACTGATATTTTTCTCTATTCTCATCACTTGTCTGCTTGATATTGTATGAATAATGTAGGGAGAAATTCTGTCTTGGTCACTCATGGGAGTTAAAGAGTTACACCATCAACCTCCCACAGATACAATTGCAGTCTGGCACTCTACAACATGAGCTAACTTGAAGTGCAGAGATTTCTGTGCAGCACTTTAACATCAATTTTTTTTTCACTCATGCAATAAACTTTGTGAGAAAGAAGGGACTGCTCATAGCCTCGTAGACTAGTGGGCTGACTGACAGACAGACATAGGAAAAACCAGAACAAAAATGTCTGGCCGGACAAGAGCCTGAATATAGCCTCACATTTGAACCAGACATGAGTCTTACATCAACCAGAAAAGAGCTGAACCAGACAGAGCAGAAAAGAGCCTAACAAGAACCAGACACAGTGTGGAAAATGAGGAGAAACCAACCTTGCAAGAGCCAGATATAAAAAAATAATCATACAGAACAGAAAACGATCCTGACAAGAACCATACACTAGGCTGATACTCAGGCTAACAAGAGCAGTAATTCAGTCTGACAAGAGCCATGCAAGAAGAAAACAGTCAGAACAGGAAAATCAAGCCTGATACAAGCCAGAAATTAGCCTAACTGTACAATGACATTGTTATATTATTACTAAATTTGTATTCAGCTTTGTCGGGCTCCAAATTTTTGTATGAGAAAAGACTGTGCAGCATACAGACACAGAGCCACACAGACTGACAGACGAACAGAATACCCAAAAGACACAAAATATTTGTTTTTAAAATGTACCTTTGGTTCTTTTCCAGGAAGGATAGTCGAGCTTCAACCACTTCCTCATCTTCTCTTATGAAATCATTCTTTAATTTCCCATCGAAACATTTAAGAAGTAAAGTATCATCCCATTTCCTCATTTCAAGAATCCTAAAATAGACCATACTCAAAAGATAAATAACACAACACCTGGAGAATATACATAATTATAGCATCATAGACCTTACTCTAAGATTGCAACAGCTTTATGATCCTATGATAGAAATGCTACTCCAGCCGGTACACATTAACAGGGTTTTCTTTAAGGTTTTAAGTAGCCGGAGTTTTTCTAAAGGTGAACGGTTGTGGGTTTCGAAATCCAATATGGCAGACAAAACGTCACACCATTCGTCCTTTCCTGCCATTGTAACAAGATTTGTCAAAAAGACAGTCCCCATCAGAACGTTTTTAAACTAACCCTGAGTCAAAAGTCTTTGAATGTTTTCAGAAAAGATAGGGAGTGCAAATTTATATTTTTATTGAGCCCAAGTTTAGACCTGATAAACATCATCTCTATACAGGCTCTCGAAGCAATGAAAGTAGCCAGCAAAACCTGGCAGAAAAGCCGGCGTATTTCACCAGCTGCTGGCTCTTACCTACAACCGTGCATTAATCACACCTTTAGAGCCCAAAAACAAGTACTTCCATAAAAAAGGCAATTAGTGCCAATTTAGAAGGACAAAAAAGAGTAACATATTTATCATTAGTTTAGAGTACATGTAACTTGTAGGTGAGTACAGAGAAGTCTTCCAGTACATGTACATGTACAAGTCTCTATCATATTAACTAGATCACAAGCTACTCTCTTGCAAAAATATGGACTCACACATTAAGGCCTATGCTCTCTGGTGAGCAAATCTGAGCCCCATCAACAGCATTCTTTAAACGTTCCCTAACTTTTTCTTCAATATTTTTAGGCAAGTCAGGATGCATAAACACTTGAATCCAAGCCTTCCGCAGCCTAAGAAAATGGAGCAGAATGCAGAGTAAAAAATAATGATAAATAAAAGGCATTCAAGTATTGCCAGACATCCTCAAGCACTTAAAAACTTCTTCAGTAAACTGCTGCAAACAAGAATTACCATTGTTTAAATTATCAAAATGGTTATCTTTCAAAGCAGCTGAATACCTTTTAATCGCTGTCATAACTTGGCTTGATGGGAACCTTTGGAGGAAAGCAACAAACACTTCATTTACATCAACTGATACAAATTATAAAGTCAGACAATGTGAAATGGGATATTTTTAATTATATCAGTGATAAAGAAAACTGATGCCAGATTCCCTGGGAAAACAGATTTTCTATTAGTGATAGTACCTCTCCATGCTTACTTATGAGGGTTCAAATTTTCCCAGACATGGAGAAG